GACTGTTTTTTTTTGTGGACCAAATTGCATTTAAGTCCCATGTGATGAGCATTTTTGCCATTTGCCCTATTTTAAATAGGTGGCCTCTTTTTTTTTTTTTTTTTTTTTTACCTTCACACAAGTTTTAAGAATTTCAATAAATACGTCTTGATTTTAAAAAAATCGGACAAAAATACCATCTTTTTACTTACCAACTAGTGCATGAAGGACTCATTTGGTTGACAAGCCTCTAAGATCTGGATAAGATTAAATAATATAATGAAAACCTAATTATTTTATTTTCTAGGACATCTAACAAAAAATTCACTAAAAAATAAGATAAATCATAATAAAATAATATTTACGGATCGACCCAACAAATTAACAAAGAATCAAATATCAAACAAAATTCAATTATTTAATTAATCATGGTTAATCCTCGAAACAAACAACAACTTGAGCTTGGACAAGATAATGAAACATATTCCAACAAGTGTCAGTCCCCTCAAATACTCTTCATCACATGTCCCTATTTCACTTTACACATGAAAATGAATACTCTAAACCACTTGCTTATTATGACTCAATTTTCTTGCTGACGTAATCAATTATTTTTCAACACGATTCAAGCAAGTGTCAGCCAAAATATCTAATTATGATATTATGTGCAATTGAGCCAAATCGAAATGAAATGAAATGCAACTAGTAGTTACAGTCAAAATCTTGAATTTTTATTTTATTTTTTTTAATATTTACATTATACCATCACCAAGATTCAAGATTATTATTACATGCGGTTAGCAAACTATATTAGAGAAAAGCAAAAAAAAAAAAAAAAAAAAAGAAAAAAGACATTACATTAAGAAGCTGCAGCTAGAGGAGGCCAGTGAGATTCTTGTTTCAAGAACTTCGAATTACAACTATTACTCGTTTCCGTTTCGTATTGGCTTTTTTTTACGTCTTCGTCCTCTTCTTCATCTTCGGCATCCCACAAGAATCGAGCATATGAAGCCAGTACATAGCTGCCGAACAAAATCATCGTTGAATAGGTTCAATAAATCTAGTATTCACTCAATACTCAAATAAAATTAAAAGAAAAGGAGAAAATTCTATTATTTGTTCGATAGTCAATCATCGGAATCTCATCGAGAATCAAATCAAGTCCATCGAACGTTTTTGGCCACAAAATTAAAAGTCGAAAGAATCAAAACAAAGAAACCGAGATCTTTTCCAAGCGCCTCGGCTCCACGGAAATAATGAGCCAAAAACACTCAATGGACCACCAACGATTTTCTTGTCATTTTTCTCATAATTGCAGGTGTTCGTTCGGAATTTTATTGTAATAAACTTTCGGCTCGAGATACTAATACAAGATTTGGCGCAACTACGATCAAGAAGCTAATTTTTCTCATAATTTCAGGTGTTCAATCATAATTCTATTGCAATAAACTTTCTGCTCGAGATACTAATACATGATTTGAAGCAACTACGATCAAGAAACTACGAATAAAAAGCAATGTGCTCACCAGTCATTAGGGTCGGATTTAACAGCTTGATTGAAATAAGATTCGGCTCTAACGGCATCTTTTTGCGTCTGCCAAATTAGATCTGCGTAAAGAGATAACGCATTTCCGTCACTCGGGTTCGCCAAAATCGCCCTTCCGCAATACTCCTCCGCCTTTGCCAAGTCTCCCTTAACCTATACACCAAACCCACATAAGTAATAATTCAAAGATCAAACTATCAACGGTTAAAAATCGAATCTTTGTAAGTCGATCGACGTAACATAGCGATTTCGATACAATCAAGCGCACACACACACACACACAAACAAAAAGGTAAATGGTTGTCTTAATTAATAAGAACTAAGCACACAAATAAAATTAAGCATAATTACGAAAATACCTCTTTCAAGAATTGAGCATAATTTGTAAGCAAGAGAGGGTTTCCAGGGTTAGCTTGTATCATCATTTCATAGTAGGCTTCCGTACTCTCACGCCCACGCCAATTACCCGGATCCCGCGAACCCGACCCGTCTCCCGATCCCCTCCCGCCGCCGCACAGACCGCCGCCCCCGCCTCCCCCAACCCCTCCGCCCACCACCAGCGTCTGCGGCCCCCTCTCCGGCGCCGCCGAACACCGCTCCTCCGCAGCACCCAAACCGGAGCTCGAAAGGAAAATGGATCCCGCATCCTGCACCCCATCTGTCCTCTCCTTGAATTTCGCGGGTTTCGGGGAAGTGGGCAGCCTCAAACCCTTCTTGGGCTTAGCCGGATCTTTGAGATCCGAATCGAACACGTGCCGGGTCGGGGTGGCGGTGGGGTTGCTCCTCCCCAAACCCTCCTCGGAACACACCGTCAGGGAGAAAGATCGCGCCCTCGTTAACTGGGGCAGGCTGTCGGACTCGGGCGAAGACCCGGACCCGGACCCGGACCCGGCTGTTGAATTGTGCAGCCATGAATTCAAGATCGGCGTAGAAGAACTTCTCAGCAGCATTTTTTTTTTCTTCTTTTCTTTTTCCCTCGTTGGGTGGAGTGAGGTGGTGGAGTTGGTGGGGGGGTTTTTATAGGAGGAATTGATGGCGCTGTGGGATTGGAATCTAGTGGTGAAATTGACAAGGAATTTTTTTTTTTTTTTTTTATGGGCTGATCGATAAAATAATTAATTTATTTTTGTGAAATTTGTCACGTGAAGATGTATTAGGTGGCGGCCGGAAACACCGCTGGTTAGTGGAGGAGGGCCCCCCTGGTTTCAGGTTTTGGGCCACCAACGGCGGAGGAGGAAGAAAGGGATTTGTGTAACCAATAGGATTCTCGATTGATTTACTGACTTTTTTCACACTAAATATTAACATTTTTGTAATTATTTTTAAGGGAAATTACGGCAACCCTGAGTTATGGTTAAATTACAAAAATACCCCTCTAGGTAATTACAATCAACTTTTAAATACAAATCTTCTTACACGTCCATCTTTGCGGTGTCAAATTTAGTGGAATCTTTTAGATTATGTGGACTATTTTTCCAGTTTGTACTCGATTTACCTCATACGAGCTCTACATTTTGAAACAAATGATCATTTTTGTCTTTTGGCTTGTAAATATCAGACTGTCGTGCATCTGGAATTGTATTTTTGCACAAATCGAGTACAAACTAGAGAGCATTCCACATATTCTGTTGAATTTGTCACCATAAGGTGAATGTGTAAACAAATTTATAGTTGATGAATAATTGTAATTATCCAAACGTGATGGGCTATTTCGTACTTTTACCTTACATGAGGGGTGACCATAATTTACTCTTATTTTTAATAAAGAAGTAATGAATGCAGTAAGATATTAAGAGTAAATAAATATAATCAATATTCCAAAATAAGTGGAGTAGTACGTTGAAGGGGCTAACCAAACTACAATGAATACAGCTGTATACTTAAAGACAATAATTAAATAAATAAATTCTCTAAATCAAATTGTAAAACAGAAGAGTATCATTTTTTTACCAAAATATAAATAGGGCTTATTTTGAAATAATTCAAAAATGAAACTATAGAATCTACATTTTACCATTTAAGCAATATTTCCCTTAACAATTGGATTTTGGTAGCATTGAATAAGTGTAATATGATAATTCTTATCACATAAAACAAAGTCATTTTATAGTTTCCGATTCAATTTGGTTATTCACACCATTTTCACCGTACATTAATTTAATAATTCCGTTTTTCAAAAATAAAAAAGCGTACCAATGATTCGCTATTCAGAATCGTTTGAAATGGTTCGATTTTTTCTTTCAAACGGTTCGATGTTGTTTGGTTTTTCAATTTGGTTATCCACCTTATGCACAATACATGAACCAAACAATTCAATTTTTCAAACATAAAAAATCAGTACAAATGATATGCTACACGAAACATTTTAAAACAACTCGATTTTTTCGACTTTTGGTTCGTTTTTTTTTTCTCGCCCTGAAAAGTCATATGTAGTGTGGCAAGTGCCACATAGATTTCATGTTACTTTCATCTTCCAACTTTTCCATAGATCAATACACAATCACTTCACTATAAGCATATGGATAATCTCATATTGCATGATAATTAATCACATCTAACTACTAAGTAAGAGACATCTAAGAGGCATTATCTCAACAACTTTCTAACTTGCCTTGGCCAATAAAAGGGGATTGAAGAAGATAATCATCATCCATAAATTGAAAAATTACACTATTATGATATTTAGCAAATCAATTTTGGGCTCCACTAATTAAGATTTATCTCAACTAATCTTGTGGTGCAAAATTAATCTAAACAACTTATATAAAATCTTTGTAGCAAACTGATCCAGATTGATTGCATGACTGACAAAGACTATCAGCCAACCACACTCCAGTCCCATTGCTAATGGTAAATTACACATGCACCCTGAGGTCTGCTAAAATAACTTTAAGGTCCTTGTAGTATTGATAATTACAATCACCCCTAAAACATTGTTAAAAACCCTAACGAAATAAGGCAGTGGATTATTAAATCCTTATTATTTTATATAGAATTTATAAATTTTCGTCTATGGTAGCATTAAAGGCACCGTCGAAACAACTTTAGAGCATATCGGTCCCCAAGACATGAAATCTTGGCTCCGACAATTGTTTCAGGGGTGTGGCTGTAATTACCAATATCAGAGGGACCTGAAAGTAATTTTTTTTCTTTTTTTTTTCGGCCACATAAATTTTATTCGTTAAGTTTACATTTTTTTAATAACTCGTTGGATGATCGAATAACCGAGCAACCGAGCGACACGATTCAGAAAAGCCCGTCGCATTCGTTTCTCGATGATTCGTTGATTTCACAGTTTTCTCAGACCAATAAGCCTGAGACAGAAAGAGTGTTACCTGGGCACACAGATTAGACCACTTCACTTGACCTAAACATGTGCACTAATTGATGTTTACTTCTTCGTATAATAAGGTATTGGCATTGTCCAAAACCGGGACCATGACCTGCCCTCTTGGTTCTCTCGTGTCAATAATTCTGCAATAAAACAAACAGATAGAATGAAGAGAAACAACATGTAGGTTTCAAAAGTAAACTTCACTTCTCTTTTGGTCTCAAATCCAGCTAATAAAGGGCCCTTAATGAACAAAACACTTACCATGTTCGTCACTCCACTTTTCCTTCTCTCGTTTTCTTGAAATCGTCGGTAAATATTAAAGAAAGAAAAAAAAAACACTGGGGGCGAACGGATGTGCGTGTTTGTTAGTGCATGTGGGGTGGTTGAAGCTGCATGTACATATTTAACTGTCTAAAGTAACAATCATTTCATATTAATTCAGACGACTCGAGAAATGTTTGGGAGTATTTGTTCTGTTCTAACTTATATAAGCATATGTATTACAATTTACACGACAGCTTACGAAATTATTTTCTAAATCGAGGACCGTTATTTGGTCTGCCACCGTTTCCTCGATCCCACGCAGAAGACCAGAAGAAAAGAGATATCCAAAATAGAACAGCAAAGAAGATCTGCAGAGTATCTTGAATCTGGTGAAAGTCTTTGTTACTCCTGATAAACACGAAACCACCGATATAAGCTGAACGTTCATTTAAATGCAAATTTAGTGGAATATACCATTTCCAAATCAATCAGCATAATTCAGTGAATCATAAGAAAGAAAACGAAATTAAAACATGCAATTTTCGAGCTTTACGTGCGACAAAATTAAAGCGTCTCCACCATATACGAGTAGTCCATTAGAACGACGAAGGGGACTTCCAAATAAATAGGACACAGCTATGACCACATGCAAGCAATTCCAAGTGAAAATAGCATAATAACCAGTTGCAAACTAATTCTTCTTCTTTGATAATTTTTCCTTGATAGTTTTTTCTTGGGGTTGTTAAATCAAGAATCGAAACGAAAGCCGTTTTGCTAAATTTACAAATCGTAAATTGTAAGAGTTTTAGATTTTATTCAACACTACTCGATATATAAATGTATATGTATATTTAACAATGTAATAAGTAACAACACTTAAACAAAGATACAGTTGCTAAGTCTTTCAAACTGATTTATTATTAAAGTTGGAGGGGCCATAGTCATGGGCTTTATATATATTTATTAATATACTTCAACACCAAAGAGGTCTTTGAGCGACTTTTTTCGCATAGATAAATGAGATGGCATCTATTGAAGTAAGGAATCTTAGTACAACTTTATAATTGAATTCAACTTTTTTCTTGATTAATTTATTTTGATTATTCATTTTCATTTATTCGAATTTTTTTCCCAAATAAAATGCTAAAAGTTATTTTTAACATAAAAATAAGACAACTTTTGAATCATTAAAAAAGACATTGGATCGTAAAAAATCGTACAAATCGATACAATATTGTAAAATCATTTTTTTGAAGATTCAATGAAAAAAACTGAAAACTCAAAATGAATCAATGGAATTAAATCATAAATTGTAAGAGTTTCTGCGGTATCGAAAACGATTCAAACAGAATATCAGTGCTACCTACCCAACAATAATGTAGATCAATTAGTTATCGCATTGAGGTGGAAATGCTAGGGTATAAATATGTTGATCGGAACTTATGCAGCAAATATGTATATACTATTTCTTCTATAAAAACCGACTAGAAATTGATTTCTAGCTCCCAGAACTATTCAAAAGGCAATAGATAGTTCTTTAAAGAAAATCAAAACAGAAAATTAAATGAATCTAACTTTTTCTTACAGATTACGAGCAAAATATACCTAAATTCAACTCTGGCCTAATGTTAGTGGTTCGATATAAATCTCTCTTTTCGATAAATGAAATAATATCCTCGATTAATCACAACCGACCCTCCCCAATGGTATGATCTTAAGCCTCCAATGTTATTTATTTGCTTGTTTCATAGCTAAAGATTTCACTATATACACACAGCACAATTTCAACATTCAAAACAATAAAAAAAATGAAATCATTAAAAATTCTCGTTCGGAACCAACGGATCCGTTAATTATCCGCAACTAAAATAGTTAGTACGATGGCGGCAGTTTGATTACAGCTAGTTTTGATAACACCTCTTACTTTGCAAGATGAAATATTATGCAGAAAAATTCATTCATTTTTTAACTAATCAAATTGAACGGCCACGATCACTTTCTATTTTGAGGCACAGACTAATTTCTAAATTATTATAGGATAATTTACCAGGCAGCAATTCAAATCATCACAGTCAAAATTGAAATCAGATTCAGAAAAAAATAAATTTGAAGAACAAGTACCTGAAAGTGGAGACAGTTGTTCCTCGGAAGGCGGCTCCGGTTGGGGACCGGCGGCGTGGCAGCGGCCTGACCAAGGAATGCGTTTGAGGGGAAACGAACGGTGGAGATTCGTTTGAGATGAAGAGGAAGAAAGCGGAGAAAAGAAGGTCATCAAATTGACGGTTGCGGTGGTGGAATTGTAGAACGGCGGCGGAACACGGTGGCTCTGGTGGTGGTGCTTCAAACTCGTGGGGCGGGGAAATGGACAACAAGCCATTTCGAGGGAAAAAAAAAATTGCTTCTGAGTTGCTGTATCGGTTGTTGGTTCCTACCGGGGCTTTGGAAGGTCGGATTCGGATTCGGATCCGGATCTGGATCTGGATCCGAATCCAAACGAATAGGCCCGTTTACACGTTAACGGTAACTGGGCTGGATTTGGAGCTCTGTTACGGTAGGGACTAAATCAGGACCGGCCCAACATTTTGGATAATGAAATAATAAATTAATAATCACCTTTTTTAATTTTTATGTTCTCAAACAGAATTATAATTATTTTTTCAGTTCCAATAAAAAAAAAAATTCAAAAACTCTAATGCCAGTCTGATTTATCATAATAAATAGGGTAAATTATAACCACCCTTGATGTATGGTCAAATTACGAAAACCCCCTTTTGTTTGGGTAATTACAATCTCCCCTCAACTATAAATCTTTTTACACGTCCATTCTTGCGATTTCAAATTTAGTCGAATCTTTGAGTTATATGGAATTTAATCACTTTTTTACCCGTTGTATCCCATTTGAACTCCACATTTTGAAGCAAGATGATCATAATATGTGTTTTTTGGCTTGTACATATCAGATTGTGGTGCATCCAAAACTGTATTTTAACACAAATTAGAGCACATTCCACGAAATCTATATAATTATGTTGAATTTGACACCATAAGGGTGGAGGTGTAAGAAAAAATCATAGTTGAGGGATATAGATATAATTATCCGAACAAGATGAAGGTTTTCGTAAATTAACCATACAGGAGTGGTTGTGATTTACCCTAATAAATAAACAGACTGAAAAGTGAAAGTCAACAAAACGGTAAAGTCAATAATACTTGTACTAAATTGTTTAAGAAATAATGACAAAAATCGGCTATTTTGTTATCGCGCATGAGCCTTTCTACTTCATCTTCGAGGTGGGAGCACTCATCAGTCGCGTGCCCGTATTCATTATGAAAACGACATAAACCTCCCCAAAATAGGGATTCGTCACGGGACTCTCACAAGCAAAACGAGACCAACGCAGATCTGATCTCTTCTCGATCGTGTACAAGATGTTTGACAATAGAGCCGTTAAGAGTTGTACCGGAGTCCTCTTGGGTTCATAAAGACCGCTTTAACGACGTGGGGCACTTACTTCTTTTCCCCTGTGATGTTCGTTCGGCCGGTCTGCGGTCATTGTACCGAGAGCTCCTCCATCTTAATTTGGGCATCCTTTATCGGGTTTTACGTGCAATTTATCTTATTCATTTCGACGACGCCCATATAAACGAAATAATACTTGGATAAAAAGTATTGAAATATATAGTACATGCGCATGCACTATAGGGAGCTAGTTTGTAGCAACAGTTAATTTATAGTTAAATTGTTTTGAATATATCTTATTCATTTTTTTTTTTTTTTTTTTTGAATATTTTGAAAAGATTTACAAAAGCATTCAAAGGAAACGACACCACCATGTTTGGTTCTATTTTATGATACATTTCTGACCATTTTTTAATATAAATATCAGATCAAACAGTAACCACCCTTTCAGACAAGTCCAATCAATTGAA